CCTCTCAGACTGGAACAGGTCTATCCGGGATTCGCCAAAGAATTAGGACTGACCTGCTGTGCAGGACTCTGCTTACGAGTATCATCTTGATTGGTCGCTGGCGCGCGCGTGAATAACGACAAGCAATCGCCATGATTCTTACTGCTTCACTTTCCGACTGCCCCGCCAGAAACGTCTCTGAGATCGATGTCCCTCGGCACATTGGTTTATCGCAGAAATCCGGATACGTCCGCACCAAACAGTTCCGGCCAGGTCTAGCGCAGCCGTCGTGATTTCTCCACGATTATCTCCGGCTTTCGTTTAGCTCTACCGGTGTAGTGCTTGCCGCTTCCTCTCTGTAGCGGGAGTGAAGGGGTTACACCGGTAGAGCTGGCTTGTAGCGGGAGCGAAGGGGTTACACCGGTAGAGCTGGCTTGTAGCGGGAGCGAAGGGGTGATACCGGTAGAGCTGGCTTGTAGCGGGAGTGAAGGGGTGACACCGGTAGAGCTGGCCTGTAGCGGGAGTGAAGGGGCTACACCGGTAGAGCTAGATACGATGCATGGGTTTTGTGACCGCAATTAACAAAAACGGAGTTCTTTGCTTCTTCTTAGTGCGGGGCTTTACCTTTTAGGGGTTTAATTAAATTTTTGGGTTTTATTAATTGTTCAGGTTGGCAGCCTTTTAATTAGTGGATGTGATTATCAGAGTGCGCATGGTGGGTCTTCGGGTTGAACGAGGTGCGACGCATGCACCGATTCTGCTGTCTCGTCGACTTAGCTTACAACAATACAGCGCAGAATTTTTATCTACTCAACGACAAAGAAGCACATATGCTAGGCCTACATGAGCTAAGGGATATAATTGTGCACGTTTTGACAAATGTATGAATATTGGCACATATGGGTAGATTAAGATATGTACATTCACATGAGATCGGGTACTCATCTCCATGGGTGTGGTATCTGGCGCCATCTTAAATTTTAAAATAGCCGCCATTAAAATCCATTATCCTTCATTTTTCTGCTTAGATTGAACATAGAAACACGATTTCGGTGTCTAAATCAACAATATCAGTGTCAAAGAAATCAAAATTAATATCGCTCGGTAGTCGCCATCTTAAAGTTCAAGTTGAATTCAAACTATAATATCTAAGTGCAACTTTAACAAACGCACGTAGCACGAACATAAACACAAATGATAGAAATACGAAATGTAGATATCAAACAGACAAGTCATATATATCGTTAAAACTTAATTCAAACTTATATACAGGTTAATGGCGTAATATCGTTGAGCGTTATTTTGCATTCCATTAAAAATTTAAAAAAATAAAAATAATAATAATAAGAAGAAGAAATATTACTGAGAAAAACTCCTGCTTGCCGTTAACGTGTAGATTCCTAAAATGTTACGGACGAATAGTCCCGAAAAAAATTCCTTTTTCTACAACTATCTAGTTATAGCAATGTAGCACCGGTGGCAAGCATCAAGTGTGTTTTTACCCCTTTATAGAGCTATCTAGTTATAGCAATGTAACAACGGTGGCAAGCATCAAGTGGGTTTTCCCCCTTTTTACATCTATATCTAGTTAGCAATGTAGCACCGGTGGCAAACATGAAATGGGGTTTCCTCTGTTCTACAACTATCTAGCTATATAGCAATGTAGCTCAATGGTGGCAAGCATTAAGTGGGTTTCCCCCCTTTCTACAACTATCTAGTTATAGCAATGTAGCACCGGTGGCAAGAATCAAGTGGATTTTGCCCCCTTTCTACAACTATCTAGCCAGTTATAGCAATGTAGTACCGGTGGCAAGCATCAAGTGGCCGGGTTTCCCCCTTTCTACAACTTTCTAGTTATAACAATGTAGCACCGGTGACAAGCATGGGTTTTGCCCCTTTCTACAACTATCTAGTTAGCAATGTAACACACCGCGGTGGCAAGCATCAATCAAGTGGTGTTCTAACTGAGGCTGAGAGGGTCTATGTCCCCCAGGGTACTGCCGGAACGTACCCTGGGTACGGTGGGGTATACCGGAACGTAACCCTGGTACTATCTATATTTGCTGGACCGTACCTCGCCTACTTCCAACTAACGAGTTCTTAGGCGTAGTCGCCTTACGGCTCTATCTCCTAACCCGAACCGCGAACCCTAACCCTTAATTCCTACCCTAACCCATAACCTAACCTAACCCTAACCATATCAAAAATAGTGACCAGGGTTACGTTTCCGGTTATACCGGACCGTACCCAGGGTACGTACCGGCAGTACTCCTGAGAGACATTAGGACCCTATGAGGCCTAACTGAGCGTGTTCACCCCGTCCCTCGGACACGGTACGCAATTGCAGTTAGGCGACGCAATCTCCGCATGATCACTGTATCGTTGATTGACGCAATGTCTCACCAGCTCAGCAGCGCAGCCGTGCCTAAACCGAAGCTATGCAAGCGTGATTTTTAAAGCTTAAGCTTAAAGCTTTAAGAGAGAGAAAGAAAGAGAGAGAGACAGATACATAGAAAGCGAGAGAGAGAGCCGAAGAGAGAGAGAGAGAAGAGGGAGAGCAAGAGGGATAGAGAGCGCGCGAATAGGCAGATGAGATGCGAGAGGAGAGAGCATAGATGAGCGAGAGTATGAGAGCAGAGAGGAGGACTGGTGCAGAGCTGATGGAGAAAAAGAGAGAGAGAGAGAGAGTGAGAGAGAGACGACGCGCGCGAAGGGGGAGATTAGGAGAGAGAGAGAGATAGATAGAGAGAGAGCGCGCTGAGAGAGGAGATGAGGACGAGAGAGAGAGAGGAGAGTAGAGACAGACAGACAGACATACAGATAGGAGAATGAAGGGAAAGAAAGAACGAGAGAGAGAGAGAGATGAGAGAGGAGAGAGCGAGAGGAGAGAGAGAGAGAGAGGGAGAAGAGCGAGCGCGAGAGAGAGAGAGGAGAGGAGAGAGCGAGAGATGGAGAGCGAGAGAGATAGAGAGAGAGAGAGAGAGATCAGACATGACAGACAGACATGACAGACAACATGACAGACAGACAGAACAGACAGAGAGGGAGTAGAGAGATGAAAAGAAAGATAGAGATGAGAGGAGAGACAGGCGAGAGAGAGAGAGAGAGAGCGGAGAGAGGAAGAGAGAAAAGAGAGAGGAGAGGAGCAGGATGAGAGAGAGGTACCGACTCAGACTCTTGCCTTCCAGCCCTGAGCTTTGGAGGACGAGAGATGAGAGAGAGAGAGCCGAGTGAGGGAGAAGAGAGCGAGAGAGCGAGAGCGAGAGAGCGAGAGCGAGAGAGCGAGAGCGAGAGAGCGAGAGCGAGAGAGCGAGAGCGAGAGAGCGAGAGCGAGAGAACGAGAGAGCGAGAGAGCGAGAGAGAAGTCGAGAAAAGTAGCACTGCCTTCATTAGATGTACGTCCGTTCCTAAAGAGACGATAGAAAATATAGCGGGAGCACGCACGCACGCACACAGAATATATCCTAACGAAGTTTAGCGCGCGCAGGAAGAGTGAGCAAACTATGAACCGGAATTTTGCCTCCAGTTTCACACATGGCGTAGACGGGAAACCCAACATGTTCTGCTTGCATCTATGACAAATACGACATACGCATATACGCTCTCTTATGACACTATTTGTCATAGAAATATATTCTTCCTATGACAAATATCGGCGAGTCAACTTCGTTCCGCTTTACAGCTGAAATTCACTGCTTGCGTTCATAATAGTGCGCCTAAACTCCCATAATGCGCACAACACACACAACAATATTTGTCATAGGAAGAATCTGCACTCGGTCTTTCGTTCGCTTCTTAGTGCTGAACTTTAATACTTGGTATATGCGACACAGAATGCACGATGGTGATATTGACAATGACAACAACGACTGAAGTGGTGAGTCATGCAGGCAATGACGTCACTGCCGTGGTGAGGCAGACGAAAACAACAACTACTGCGATGATGACGTAGACAAAGTCGTCGACGACGACGATGAAGACGATGAAGACGATGACTACGACGATGACGACGATGACGACGACGACAACGATGACGACGATGACGATGACGACGATGACGACGATGGTGACGATGACGACGATAACGGCGATGACGACGACGATGACGACGATGACTACGATGACGACGATGACGACGACGATGACGACGATGACTACGACGATGACGACGATGACGACGACGATGACGACGATGACGACGATGACTACGACGATGACGACGATGACGAGCGACAACTACTGATGTAACGTCAGCAAAGACAGCGACGTCTGTGACAATATTAAGCACGACAATGACAATGACACGATGAATGCCTTCCTGGTTATCATCCTATATTTCTTGGTAAGCGGCTTTATGGTGTACGGTTTGTCAATTTAGTCCAACCATATGTCGGTTTATAAACACACACCATCTTTTCCACCAACCATAAACACTGTAACGCCACCAACATGTTATTTATAAAAAC